CCGGCGCAGGGTAGGAGGAAGCTCTCCACACACTCACCGGACCTGGGCTAGGACTGGGTCTGGGGGTTCCCGGAAGTGGGCAGAAATTCCTACTGGACAGGAGGGATGGGGGGAGGTACGGCGGAGTGGTGGGGGGCGGCCCGAGGGGGTGGGAGTGGGTCCGGCCCTCGCTGCGCCTGGGCTGGGCCTGGTCCCGGTCCTGCCGGCGCAGGGTAGCAGGAAGCTCTCCACACACTCACCGGACCTGGGCTAGGACTGAGTGATTTGCAGTGATTTTGATCCTTGTGTTTTCTGCCTCCCCAGCACTGGTATTACACCATGCCTGGACTTGGTAGCCAGCTCAGCATTCCCAAGGGTGGGGCCAGCATGGCATGTGGTGCTGGGGATTAAACCCTGTTCCCTGTGCAAAAACTTGATTTTAGAATACTACATTCTTCAGTGTAAAAAGTTGTTATGTTTGAATTTGTTTCGATGTTCAGGAAATAAATTTCTCTTCTTTCATCCCTTCTTTCTTTCCCCTCTCCCCCTTTCCTCTCCCTTTCTCACTTCATCCATCCACCCACCTACCTCATCTACCAATCCATCCACCCACCCATCCATCCACCCTTCATCCCACCCAACCACAACCTCATCTACACATTCACCTATCCACCCACTCACTCCATCCGCCCATCCACCTACCCCACCACCCACACACTCACAAAAACCATCTACTACCCCCCTATCCCCCTACCTCATCCACCCTCCCTCCCACTCATCCATCCTTTCTTTTCTTCAGTAGATCCATTTTAATTGCTTTTCATGTACTGAAAACAGTGCTAAGGTAGTTATGGAGAGTATGACCTGTTGTGGGAAAAGATAGTAAGTAAATAAACAAATGCTTAGAAAACAAGATATTGTAGTTTTATGAAGGGGAAAACAGCATTTTGTGATGGAGATGAACAACAGGCATTGGAGGCTCCCTACTTTAAAAAAGAGCACTCAAGAGAAATGTTTCTAAGAACCTGACTTATTCTGTGTGTGTTTGTGTGTTAGGGCAGAGTTCCCAGCAGTGAGAGGACCCTGAAGGCAGGATTCCTGGGCCAGTAACCCTTTAAGAACCCAATCTAGGGAAGGCAGAGTCTAGGTGGAAGGACTAGAGCATTAGACTTACGGAGGCCTTTCCTCTGAGGCTCAGGAAAAGCCCACAGTGGCACCCAAGAACAGGAGCCTTCTTCAAGTTGAGCCCCAGGTGCTAGAATTTACTCCACCTATTAAAAATAAAAATTACAAAAAGTTACATAGAGGCCCCCATCTGCTTTGTTTCCATCTTCCAATTCCAGCTACGTGACAATTATTACCAGTTTGTTATTTATCTTTCCGAGGATCTTATGCATATAAAACTTATTATATATTTGGAAACCACAAAATGTTGCTGAAAGAAATCAAAGAACAAATATTGTAAGTAGAAAGACATTCTGTGTTCACAGATTTGGTTGACAATGACTTTTCAGATCTGACACCACAGAATAAAAACCAGACAAACTGGATTCAACCACATGCATACGGCGAGATGGAATATATACAGACCTCAAAATATATGTGTTTATGCTGTCAGATAAATAGCACCTTTACTCTTTTTTTTTGAGGAAATGTGGGTTGGATCCAGGTCCTCATGTAACTCATCAAAAGCTATACCTCTGAGCTACACCCCTAGTACATAGCTATACTTTTAAATGTTGAAAATCCAACAAAGATTTTAGTAAAAATTTAAAAAACAAGAAAGAAAATGTTAGGAAACTAAGGGAAATAACCACCAGTATGACTCAAAGCGCACACCACTGTGTGCTCTGCTGAGCTGCGGCGATAAATGCTCCACACCTAGATGGCTGGAGGGATTGTGTAAGTCAGGGCTTGCAAGAGAAGAGTTTTACTGCAGGACATGGAAATGGACGAGATTGACAATACACACCCACACAGCCAAAAGTGGACAATGCAAGACTGTCCAGAAGTCAGAGATCTGAAGGATCCAGCCCACAGTGATGTCCAATGCAAGTCTTCATCAGGAGGCCGAGGAATCCAGGATGGGGGACTGAAGGGTCTATGTTGGAAGGCCACAGACCCGTGCTGGAAGCTGAAGAATCTGTATGAGAACCAGGAGATGAAGACCACATCTCCTCCACGAGAACAGCAGCCATCCTTGGTGAAGGTGAAAAAGAGAACAGCCAGAAGGAAGCTCCTTCAAGGAAGATCAGCTGAAATCCTCCTTCTGAAGTTCTCTGTGTGTACTGCTCTGACAGCAGTCCTCCTTACATGGGTCTTGTATGCCCAGAACCATACTGACCCAATTCAGCTAGACATTCCTATTCAAGTTAATAGTTAATTGATTAATTAGTCATCACAGGGATGTAGCCATAAACCTGGGTGAGCTGGGTCATTCATTGTAAATGCAGGAGATGTTATATTTGGCTGCAAGAAGGAGAGCTGGATAATTAAAAAGGGGATGCTCACAGGCCAGAGACTCATGTACCCTTACAATGTACAGGCTGCAAATCCTCAGACCATCTGGGGAAGGGCTGTTACAAGGCACCTGTATCATGAAGGAATAACCCTCCTGAGTGAGATGAGTGTTCACATATAAGGGGCTCCAGAGAACTTTCTGTACCCCCAACCAGGTAAAAACACAAAGGTAGGGTAGAAGTCCTCTGAGAGCCAAGAACTGACCTCTTACCACATGCCAAATTTTCTGGTACCTTGATCTTGGATTTTCCAGTCTCCAGAATGGAGAGAAACTAATTTTTCTTGTTTATAAGATACCTTGCCTATGACATTCTGTCATATGTGTGCAAATAGACTGAGCAGATGATTTTAGTGCTGACAGGCTACCTGCAACAGGAATGGTAGTCACCAGGGACCTGTTGCACAGACAGAGGATGCCTGGAAGAGCTGGCACCCATGTGCTGCACATAGTGCCCACAGCCATGAGAAAAAGGCTGTGGGGGTCTCAGCAGCAGCTCTACTTTGCCCATGTGGCTTGGGGGTGAAATTGCAGAGTTTTCTTATCAACAAGTGACTGTAAGTTATACCTCGCTGAGTGGGGATGCAGAGGTGCTGTTAGGTCCTTACTCCTCTTCTCAGACAAAGCTTGTCCTCAGTGACTTGATGACCCTTCTATGCCAGTTCAGTGAGCCAGTGAGCACACACAGTTAACTGTGGTGGGTAAATACGTGTGTGTACAGTAACCTTGATACTTCCTGTTGGATACTATGGACCTAATAGGTGATGGGTGGCCAGCCAAGTCACCTCTTCCCTGATGGAGGATGCTGGAGCATCAGGGAGCAGTAGAGTGGTCATGGTCATGCTGGTTGGGAAGGGAAATGTGACATTTTTATACCCGGACAAGAAAGTGATGTACATCTTCAGGTAGCACTCTGGAACTCTGCAGGAGCTGAAGGAGAGTTGGATTTAAAGTCAAAGATATCAATCTCCCTTTTGGTCTATGATAGCTTCACTTGTCTCACAGCCATGATGAGAACTCTGCTGCTAAGGAGTCTGAGACAAGAACCTTTGTATGAAAACAGTCTCTTTTCCTACCCTGGAAAATAAATTATTCTCAGTGGACTGAGGGCAGCTGTGTCTTCAGGGAAGGTGGTGTTTGGTTTGGGAATTGCTGGAGTAGTGTTCAGGAGGGTTGGGGCCAGGCCTAGGAGGAGGGTCTGCTGAGTCTAGGGCATTAATCCACCCAGTGAGAATGAAACCAGGATAGAAGGTAATGTTCTGAGATGCTCAGGCAGAAGGGTTGAAAGTTCAAGCCCAGTCTGGGAATTTAGTGATGTGGTGAGACCCTATCTTAAAAAAAAGTCTTGGGGCTTAAATCTCTACCTCCACATGGGAGAAAAAAATGAAAGAAAAGGTTAAGACAAGCAGGGCAGGACAATGACTGAGCAAGGGGAGGGGGAGGAGTGATGAAGGAGGACCTAGCAAAGGAAAGAAACAAGGTTGTCCACATGTTCATGTCCACATGTTCTAGTGCCTGCTTGCACTGTCCCAGGCCCATGGCTCTGTACCTGATGGAACATAGGTAGAGGATATGATGCCCTCTCAGAAGGAAGTGAGTGGGTTCATCTTAGAGCACAAAGACAGGACCCACCTGAATGTTGTTAGATGAGGTGTTTCACTGCCCAGGAAAGCTGATGTCCTCCTAGCCACAGTTGTTCACAGGCATCAGATCCTGTTTTTGCTGTGAAGGGGTCACTCATCAGCATTGCACTCCCATGTAACTTGCTTACAGTGGGAGAGCAGTGATAGGCCTCCTCCAGGACACCAGCAGGTGAAGGACCTCAGATGGCCCTTTGTCTCATGCAAGAGTTTAGTGATCTACAGCTCACCTTGTATTCCTACCTACTCAGAGCAGTGAACTCAATATAACCAAAGACCAGCTGGTTCCTCCTTCTCATAATTGTGTAGCCAAGATGAAGGGGGCCCAGCTGGGAAGATGGATGCATAGAAGTTATTGAAATGACTGTAGTAGCAAAAGAACAGTAAGAAGTGGAAGATGAACTATTAAGAATGGTGCAGAGAGAAAGCAACTGATGCCACAGGGGGTACCAGCAATGGTCCTGACTTGTAGAAAGATGGAGAGGCTCAGGGTAGAGAAGTGCATCCTACCTCTCCTCAGACCCTGCATGCTCCTGGGTGGCAAGCTTAGGGGAGAAGGTCATAGTTCCTACTGTGAGGAAGAGCAAGAGAGAAGCTAAACCCCAGCCTGGGATGATGGCATTCACTCTTAATCTAATAGTATCACAGATCTATACGATTAATTGACTCCCAAAATTTGAAGTTTAGAGAAACTTAGAGAAAATGAGAGGACTTGAGACTGTTAAAAATGTGTTATTTTCCTGGATCACATCAAGGGGAGATGGAATTTAAACAGGCAGAGTGCTGTGGATGGGAACTCACATACCTCTCTGGAGAAGAGCTTGGCAAGTTCTTACCAAACCCGACATCCAACTTCCATGCACCTCAGCAGCTGTGCTCTTGGCATTCATCCAGACAAATGAAAGCTTTTATTCATATAAAACCTGTACATGCTGTTCACAGCAGTTTTATTTGTAGTAGTCAAAAAGTGAAAACAATACAGATGCCTTGCAGTCAGTAAAGGGTTAAAGAAGCTGAGAGTCTCCCTTAAGATTTTGAGTAGTAAGCCTACTCAGCAATTCAAAGGAAACAAGATTAATGCTGGCAACAACTTGGATGCTAAGTGTGTGAAAAAAAAAACCCCAATCCCCAAAAGCCATGTACTGTGTGATTCTATTTATATAACAAATTATACGACAAATTAGAGATGTGGAGGTCAGATTAGCACTCACCAGGTTTTGGGAAGCAGGGAAAAGGTTGGTGTGGTTATAAAGCAGCAAGATCAGGGATTCTTATGGTGGTAGAAGCGTTCCTGATCCTTATTGTGGTTAGAGGGTTTGCATGTGTGCTGAAGTTGCGCATGCGCGAGTGCGCTTGTGGGCGCATGCACACATGAGCACAAGTAAGACTGAGAATCCGGAATAAAATGGGTGCGCTGTACTGCTAATGTCTTACTGTGTCATTAGGATAGATATACAGTTACTTTCTCTTAGTTCAGTGGGAAGAAAGATTTGTACTAACAGTGTTTATAAAAGATACCATGCCTGCATCTTGTACTATGAGTAAGCACTACGAAGACAACAATATGCAATGTATTAATAATTGAAACTGTCCTACTAATCGGTTTTGAAACTGTCTCATTGCTATTTGTTTCTCAATAAAATTAATTAAAGATATCCTGCCATGGTTTTGCATTATAGTTCTGTGAGATGTTGCCTTGGGGAAAATGGGCTGAAGGGTACATGGGACTTCTCCATATTATTTCTTATAATTATCTCAAAATTTTTATTTTCAAAAAAGTGAAAGTTCTAAGCAGAAGCCCGAGTGACTGGCCTTGGATTACACTGCAAATCACTGCTCAATTGTTGGTCTTTGCTGCTGCTGGAGACCCAGAAATGAGTGCAGGATATGGTATTTGTATACAAGGGGCATCATGTGGGACCTGTGAGAAATAAGGAGCCCAGGAGTGATTCTCACATCTCTCTCTCTCTGCTACCAGTCCTGCATTTCTTTTTCCTTGTCCCCAATTGAGTCTATAAGACAGAACAGGATAGTTCCCAAGTTGAGTAGCAGCACAGGAAGAGAGGACTCCTGATAACAGAACAGCCTCAGATTTGTGCCACAGCCAAGGCATATGGGGAGGTCTGAGCTGTCGGCTTGGATTCCAGGTTCCTCTCTTTCACTGCTCTGTTGCAGTCTTGAATATTGAGCATGTGAAGAATCTGTTGGCTAAGGGCTCCTCCTCAGGGGAGGTTCTCTACCTCTGAGTATTTTCATCAAGGAATCTAAGAAAGCTTGCCACTTCCCCAAGATGTGGGCCCTGAATGGTAAGGGTGACCCACCACAAAAGCTGTACTTCCTGCTTGCTTATCCAGTATAAGCCCTAGACTACCAGAGATGGAGTCTGGTATTTTGGGGATGATCCCAATCAATGCCCATCAATGTAAATAAATCTGTCTCCAAGTCCTGAGCGTTGTTTTTGTATTTCTGCTTGCCATTGTACTTGATGAATTGGGCCAGTCATGGCCTTCATGGGTGGAGTAAGAGTTGTGCATTCTCCAGGCCCTATGGGAAGATGTGCTCTCTAGATTTCTTGGGTCCCTTTGGAGGTCTGAAGGAGGATGCTGGCTCCTCACCTCAGTGGCTCACGTTGGCCCCCAATGGGAGGAAAGTGCAATCTGTCTGCCTACCTGCCTGATTCTAGTAAGCCCTGGGGGGCATCTCAGTTATTCAGTCTTTCAGTTGTGCTCATTTAAAGCAGACAGAGAGCCTTATCAACTCTTGTTAGTTAAGGTCATCCTCAAAGAATTGGGGATTGAAATATTTAACCTCCGAGTGCCTGCTGAATGATTGTGTGAATGAGTAGAATGGACAGCATAAGCAATAGGCTGCTCCATCTGTGCACCAAGACTGGGAAGCGAGGCAGTTGACATATGGCATGACAGAGGCCTCCACTCTCCTTAGCTAAGTTGTGCCTAAATTCCCTTGAAGGGTGTGGCAAGGTGGACTATTGAATGGTCTCTCTCTGAGGAACACTCACCCTTTGTCTGCCATGCCATTGTTCAAAGTACATGATTGGCACTGTTGGGAGATAGAATGGGAACTAGTTAGTTGAAACTGACAGTTTCTGACTGCAGGAAATGGGGATTTTATGGAGTTAAAAATGAAACTTCCCCCTACATCTCAAAAAAAA